TCTGAATCACCTGAGTGGGAGTTTTCAACTTCTGTGTCTCTGTCTGTGACTTCCTGCTCTCCTGCTGGAGGTGTCTCTCATCTTGTGCCTTCTGTACCTCTTAGCTGGGAGAAAGATGACCTTTGACATCAGGCCGGTGGGGGTGGAGGGAGGGTGGTTGGCCCAGCTCTGCCACCTCGTCTGGACACGGCAAGTGCCTCCACTGAGGGTGATGACAGAAAGCTTGTTGTCCCAGGCAGGCCCCCTGCATGTGTGCTGTCACCACCACCTCCCAGCTGTGGGGCCATGGGAAAGCCACGCCACCCTCCCATGCTGCAGTTTCCATGTGGGTAAAATGGGGACAAGTAGCAAATAGCGGACAAGGTCTAACAATTAAGTTCCTGAACCCGTCCTAGAAAGAGTGCTGCAGGCCTGGCCGCCGAGCCTCCCGACAGTCACCTTGGCGGCACTGCCCTTGGGAAGCCGTGTGCCGCCTCCAGCGCCTACTCCACCCTGCAAAGCACTTTCTCTCGGATGAGTTAATGAACTTAAATGCCCGACCTCAGTCAGTCCGTAGGGCTGTTGTGAGTGTTGCGCGTGTTCAGGTGCGTGTGGCGCCCAGGACCGCACCCGCCACTAGTGAGCTCCAAGCAAGTGTATGCTTTTGCTCATGTTAGTGAAAGGGGACAGACTTATGCTGCCTTCTCAAGTGGTTATGAAGATTGAATTAAATGGATCAAATACCAACTATCTACATAGCCTGGGCCCACCGTAATGTTCCCTCCTCCCACCCCCCCACTTTCTTAACGCCCCCCCCACCCCCAGCCTTAGTCAGGTGGTTTACACTTTCAGCCAGATGAAGGTGAGCCCATGGTCTCCTCTGGAGAAGGCCGGATAATTTGCACAGTCTGGAATTTCTTTCACCGTTTATTGACGCTCTTATTTTCTTCCAAAACCCCACATCCTTTTTAATTTACTGTAATTAAATGAGCGTACGTCGAATGGTGCTGATAATTAGTCAGATGGCTGCAGACTTCAAAGACTTCAGCCTGCTCTTTCCCCTCCTGGCCGAAGGAAATTTCAAAAGTAGTGTTTCCCTCAAAGGCATGTTACTTAGACAGCCAGTCAATTAAAAGGCAATTTAACTGATGCTCATTAGTTCACACAATAAAATAAATCATTCCAGGAAGACTTGGTTTCTCACCTGGGGTCTCGGCAATGTACCTGTTGTAGTTCCCCACTAATGCCGCACTAATCGTGTGTGATACCAAAGCATTAAGGGCTAATTTGGCTATCAAAAAAGGGTATAACATTAAACTGCCGTCTTCCTCCGTGTGAAGAGATGCTTGCTTTGGACAGCTGCAACACTTTTCAGGAACCAATTTTCCTTGTCCTTAGAAGTAGCATTTTAAAAGTAGCCTTTCCATATGGAAAGATAGAGTCTAAAAGTTGAGTTATTGTAAAAGGAAAAAGGCATGCCCCTTAAGTCAATTTGATATGTGATTGCAGTGATCCAAATTTCCATGTTAGGCAGAGTATGTTACGGAAGAGTGGGCAGTGTAACTTCTCTTTCCGAGCAACTGTATGTAGGTGAGGGAGGAGACAGAGGGACTTGAACTCTCCTATTACCAATTAAATTCAGGAAGAGTTTGGGAGAAAATGCTCATGGCCCTGGAGTACCTTGTTATGTCAGTACTTGTCATGCTTCCAGGACAACACAAATGCCATTTCTCTCCTGGTAGTTTTCATGAGGGGATAATATTTGAGTTTTCTGAAGATAATTTGAAGAGAGGTGTACTTTTTTTGCCTCACTAGCAAAATTCCATTCTTTCAACTTTATTCACCAATCTTTCTTTCAACCTACTTTGGAAACTGATTTTAAGTCTTAAGGTGGAATTTCATTGCTATAAGAAATACATGGTATTTTAGTGTTACTCTAATTTTATGAGATTCTCCTACACATACTAAACTATAACTTGAATTCCACTGTGGGCCTTCTTCTGGCATGTAATGGTCAGCTCTGCTGTGGTCTGCTACTGTAAATCATATTTTATGTCTTAGGGGTTCTGGGATGTCAAAAATAGCAAAAGTCATATGTTAGTGTGCTCACTAGGTCAAACTGAGAATTTCAGTCTTGCTTTGCAAAATACAGTTGAATAGTTTCTAATATATAAATCTGGTTACAATGCCTTGCCTTGTATACAGCGATAGTTCTAATAGCAGCTTGTCATTCTTTGAGCAAAGCTTCCATGTTTCATCTAAGGATAAAATATTTTCACTTCATGGATGTGTCCACGTCATTCTTGATCATAGTATTATGACTTAAATAAAATTCTAAAAAACATTTAATTCTACAAGATCAAACAAGTTCACAAACTCATGCTCAGAAAAAGTGCTGCAAACGTCATTGCTGAATATCCCTGCAGTCCCTGTGGAGGTTCTGACCTTGGGACGCTGTGCATTGCTGCCAGCGCCTAGTCCACCCTTCAGAGTAATTTTGGAATTCTTTTTCTGCAGTGGCCACCAAAGCTGTAGTTGCATGAGATCGGACAATTAAGTTCACGAATTCATCCTAGAAAAAGTGCTTTGAAGGATGGACCGGGTGCTGGTGTAGGTGCACAGCTTCCCGAGGGGCATACTTTGGCTGGGGCTGGGTTTGAACCCACCACCTCCTGCATATGGAGCTGGTGCCCTACTCCTTTGAGCCACAGGCAGCTCCCGAGGGGCATACTTTGAAGACGGCACAGTGATATTCAGCAGTGAGGTCTGTAGCACTTCGCTAGGACGAGTTCTTGAACTTAATTAGACAACCTCACATAAAACTAGAATTGTGACTAATAGGAAATCCATTACCGTTGTTGTTATTATGTACTTAATTGTTCATATATATTTTTCCATTCTAAGAGGATTTTTGGAACACTTGGCAGCTTGCTATTTATCACATGCATATTGCGCTTTGCAGTAAACTCAGCTTGCATTCTAAGTATTTCTGTGTAAAGTATATAGAATATCTGCTATCTCTGCTTAAATTCTAAGAGTTTTTTCAGTTTGGAGTTGAAATGAAAGTGATGTATACTATGCATGTATCAAAACTGACCGTGTGCACTACTTTGATTTTTGAATGTGTTTTTGATATCCTTGAAAAATCACAGTGGTAGCAATAAAATGGCTTTAATTAATGAATTGAACAGCAGTGAGTGCTGAATCAGGTTTATTGATGTAATTATCACTGAAATAGAAAAATAAGTGTGAGAGCCGTAGAACCTTAGTTTATATGCCGTTCTCAGGGTGGTCAAGAGAAATAAAAATAGGCTATAAAAAGGCAGAGTGATAGCTATGATTTGCGTATTGCAAAAATTTGGAAAATTCAGACCTTGTGAAACAATTATTTTAGAATAAACTGGTTAATACCAAAGTAATGTTGGCCTGCCTTTCCAACTGGTTTATATAGGAGTGTTAAAGTTCACAAAGAGAGAATTTAAAATTTTGACATACAGCAGATGGAGATTCCTAGGGGATTGGAAAGTATTCGAATGAAATGTCAGGAGCCACAGAAAACAAGTAGAAAATAT